GTACACAGCCCTCTCCTCAGGCAGGGAATCGTACACAGCCCTCTCCTCAGGCAGGGAATTGTACACAGCCCCCTCCTCAGGCAGGTCAATGGTACACAGCCCCCTCCTCAGGCAGGTCAATGGTACACAGCCCCCTCCTCAGGCAGGTCAATAGCATACAGCCCCCTCCTCAGGCAGAGAAATGGTATACAGCCCCCTCCTCAGGCAGGGGAATGATGTACAGCCTAGGAGGCCCCAGCCCCCCTCCCCTACTTTACATTCATCACTGACACTCCTGCCCACCCTCCAGGCTGGCACTTGTGATCAGCTTTCACCACACCCAGCCTTCCAGGGCTCCCTCCCCACTGCCTACTGAGAGCTCCCACACCTTCAGAGCCAAGAACAGGGGTGAGCCACTGCCCACCCTCCCCCTCCAGTCCGCCCTTGCTGGCGAGGCCTTCCCCCCTCACCCCCCAGCGCATCTCCTCTGGTATCCCAAGCACTTTTCGGGCTGCAGGGCACTGTGTCCACCTCCAGGGTGCCCAGGAGACATCACACACTTGAGGGGCGGGGACCTGTACGTCTACCGGACACCCCGCCCTGCCAGGGCCTGCAGAGCAGAGAATGAGGCATGTCTGCAAGCACGGCAGCAGAGCCCCCAAAGCCAGGGGAGGGACAGTGACGGTCTGCCCTACACAGGCAGAGGGGCCTGAAGGCCTTGCCTCACAGAAGGCGGCAGGCTATGGAGGTCTGACACGAGAGGAGAGGAGACGCGGGGTGACGGGCCATCACCCCCAAAGAGGCCCCAGGAGCAGAAAAGTCGGAGCAGACACAGCTCCCAGAAATGAACAACAGGATCATCAGCAGTAGGGAGGGGCTGGTGGCCAGAGACAAGTGGCCAGGTTAAAAAGAAGCCTCCTCACCAAGGGGACAAACAGGAAAGAGGATTATCTCATGATAGATTAATCTGTGAAAAAAGGGCGGCTTCTGGAAAGATCACTGAAGAATGCGGATGGGAGACAAGCAGGAGAGACCCTCAGGAGAGGAACGTGAGTGGACCTCCACCCACGGAAACCATGACCCTGGAGCAAACCCAGCCACTCACCAATCAGCGTCTTCAAGCACTGGCCGGAGGCCGTGTCCCAGATCCGGCTGCAGGGAAAAATCAAACACTGTGTTAGAAAATCCAGTTACTTCAGCAGCTGATGAGTTCTACAATTATTAAGCAAAACTAATACACTTTTCTCTCATTCACTTTATTTTTAATTTGACGCTTCACTTATTTAACAACCATGTTCCCTCATAACCCAGCACGCAGACGAGGCGCTACGTACACACGTAAGCACGGCACACACAGCACACCCACAGACACACGTACGTATGTTTCTACACGGCCCTTCCAAGACTAGCACACATTTACCACACCTGGTGAAACAGGAAGGCGAGGCCGTGCCCACCCTCCTTCACCAAGGTGACAGGCACTGAGCCCCTCCCCACGCTCACGCACATGCACCCCGGCATGCGCGTCCAGGAGGTTTCGTTTTTATAAAAACAGAGCATCGTACACGGTTTTCCAGACACCCGTCGAGTTCCACAGTCAGCGAACTCACCCAGAGTGCAGCTCCCTCCGGAGTGGGGCCCCAGACATGCCCACTGGCCAGTCGCTCTCTCTCTGGGTTTGGCCAACACAAACCCCACATTTTGGGCAACAGACCACTGCGTATCAGTAGCAACATTTCTACACAAGGGATTCAGTCGTGGGGAGGCGAGCCGAAGGGCAAGGAAATTCTAAAATAATCCAGCTCCCACCACCTGCCTCTGTGCATCCCGACCCACAACGGGCATGACTCTCATCTGCCAACTACATGGAGGAAACATCTCTCCAGTTTTCCCTCCAACGTCCGCCCACCCAGCGTCTGCATCACAGGGCCACCAGACAGTTAAATGCTGCATTATCTGTAAAGCACCACATCAGCGGTTCCTTAAACTTCGGAACGCACAAATACACCCTCCACAGAGTCAATGCTCACACGATTCACCAGATTGGATGCCTTTCCCACTCCTACCGACAACCATGCGGTTGTTCCTTTAATTTGTCGCTGTGATTAATCACGTAGGTTTCCTGATGTTCACCATGATGTTACTATAAGCCTTTCCTTGTTCAGTAACCTGACTTGGAGTATTCCTTTTGATGCACTGTTGGATTCTGTTTGCTGGCATTTTATTTGGAGCTTTGACATCGATATTTTTAAGTGAAACTGCCCTCTTGGGCATGCTTTCTGAGACTTGCGACCAGATTTGGATAAGGTCGTGCTAGAGTCACAAAATGAGCTGGGGGGCTTCCCTCCGTTTCTATGGTCTGAAATCATTTAAAAAGCCTTAGAAGTTTCTGTTAATTCATTAGACTTCAGGGATAAAATCACAGGACAAACTATTTTTAGACCTTTAACCATTTTTCCGGAAGGTGCTCTGGTGGTGCGGTGGTTAAGCTCTCGACTGTCAACCGAAAAATCGGTGGTTCGAACCCACTAGCAGTTACCAGGAGAAAAGACGTGCTCCCATAAAGATGACAGCCTAGAAAGCCCTATGGGGCGGTCCTACTGTCACGCGGGATAGCTATGAGTCAGAATCGACTCGACAGCACGCAACCACCACCACTGCTCTTCCAGTCTCTTCGACGGTGGCTGGTCACTCAAGTTCCTGCTTCCTGGGTGGGGTTCAGATACAGGAAGTACCCTCTCCTCTAAGGGCCTAGTGTGTGGCCCGGAGGACACTTCTGTCCTTTCCTGAACTTGTGGGCTTATCGCCCCCTCTCATTTCTAATCTTGCTTTTTCTTTTATCACGCTTACAAAGGTTTTAATTACTCTACTTGACATATCAAAGAATGTACCTTATTTTAATTATCCTATTCTTCATCTCATTTCATTACATTCTGCTTTTAACTTCGTAAATTCCCTCCTCCCACTTTTTATGGTATGCTTGGTTTTTCTTTTCCTAATTTCTTTACCAAGTTTTCGGAGCCACGTCCACAAGCTGTTCTGAGATGGCTCCCCAGTCTCGGGAAAGCCGACGTCCCGTTTGATCTGCAGTGAACTCTGTCCACAGCAAACAGCCAGCCCGTGCTAGCACCCACGGCCGCTGAGTCCCAGCCCCTCGTCTATCAAAGACTAAAAGCAGTACGTTAAAGTCGCTCACAGGTTTTTTTTCCCACGTTCTCCTTACGTTTCTAGACCTTGTATTTTGTGGCCGCTCTGTTGTTTGGTGCATAAAGCTTTGACTCTCAGGTCTTCGTCATAAATTCTACTTTTCTCATTACATAACGTCACTCTTTGTGCTATACGGAGTCCCTGGGGGGCACAAATTGTTAAGCGCTTGACTACTAGCCAAAAGGGTGGCAGTTTGGACCCACCTAGAGAGACAGGCCTGGCGACCTGCTTCTGAAAGGTCACAGCCTTGAACACCCTAGGGAGCCGTTCTACTCTGCACACATGGGGTCACCGTGAGTCGGACCAACTGGATGGCAACTGGTATTGGACTGGGCTCCCTCCTGGAGGGGCCCAGGAAGGGGATTTTAGAACTACACCCATCTGCCAGGAAGAGCTTTAGTGGGCTTTCCTGGATTCCCAGGAGTCCCTGGGTGCTGCCAACGGTTAAGTGCTCGACTACTACCAAAGGCTGGCAGTTCAAACCCACCCAAAGGTGCCTCAGAAGACAGGCCTGGTAATCTGCTTCTGAAACGTCACAGTCTTGAAAACCATACAGTGTACAGTCCTACTCTGTACACACGGGGTGCCATGAGCTGGAACGGACAGCAACCAGCCCAGCTGTCCTGTTGGCTGCTGTGTCTTTCACCTCCCCTGGTTAGGAACATCTCTTTTCACTTGGTGTCTACTAAATGTCGCTCGCCCACCCTTCTTTCCAAAGCTTCACTAAACTGTTTCCTTTCAGGTGTGCTTCTTGAAAACAACAATCAGAAGACTTTTTTTTTAAGTCAACTGACAGCCTTTAAACTGGTATTCATCCAATCCATCACTTACTGTGATACCTAACACAGTTTCATTTCATCCGTTATTTTTACATACACCGTTTGTTACTCCATTTCTTCCTTCTGATTTTTGCTAAATGTAGACAGGTTTCCAGTATGCTTTTTTCCCCTCTATTGAGTTCTACCAGGTTGTCAGGTTGGCTCGAGGCAGCCAGCGCACCATCTCCTTCCTAATAACCACACTTAGATGGGTTTATGTCTTGAGACCACGTCCCTCTTCCCCTCACCTTCCCTATCTCAGGGTCTCTGCTGGCCCACTGTTCAGGACTCACTGTCCTCAATGAGACCATGTCCCTCTTCCCCTCACCTTCCTTCCCTATCTCAGGGTCTCTGCTGGCCCACTGTTCAGCACTCACTGTCCTCAATGGGACCACGTCCCTCTTCCCCTCAAACCTTCCTTCCCTATCTCAGGGTCTCTGCTGGCCCACTGTTCAGCACTCACTGTCCTCAATGGGACCACGTCCCTCTTCCCCTCACCTTCCCTATCTCAGGGTCTCTGTTCTGACCCACTGTTCAGGACTCACTGTCCTCAATGAGACCACGTCCCTCTTCCCCTCACCTTCCCTATCTCAGGGTCTCTGCTGGCCCACTGTTCAGGACTCACTGTCCTCAATGGGACCACGTCCCTCTTCCCCTCACTTTCCCTATCTCGGGGTCTCTGTTCTAACCCACTGTTCAGGACTCGCTGTCCTCAATGGGACCACGTCCCTCTTCCCCTCACCTTCCCTATCTCGGGGTCTCTGCTGGTCCACTGTTCAGGACCCACTGTCCTCAATGGGACATGAGGACAGCCCACTCCCAGAGTCCTCAGGTCCCAGGACACTTTCCTTCACCTCAGGGGCTCGACCCCCTATTGTCCATGAGACTGTGAAGCACTTCAGCACCTACATGGGGCTCGCCCTGGGGAGCCCATCCTCCCAGACCAGGGCACCCCGACCCCGCTGTCCCTCCGCATCGCATCACCAGTACCGGAAACTGCGCCACGTCTGTGCCCTGCCCGCACCCCCTGGACTATACGCTGCTTGAGGGTGAGGCCGCGTCTCCTCCACTGTGTCCCGAGGCAGCCTTTCACACACACTCACCTGCTGACAAAGTGAAGTGAAAACCACACTTACCAGAGGCCGTCGTAGCTGCTCGAAACTATCAAGGAGCCATCTCGATTGAAGTGAACCTGAGGATCAGGAGTGAGAAGAAAGAAACTTACTTTTAAAGCATCGATACTGCTTCTCCCCAAGTGGTTCTTAGTGAACACCCACCAAAACCCACCCTGAGCAGCCACAGAGCCGCCCTCTGCTCCAAGTTCTAGTGATTTCCTGAACGCTCCAACAGACACGTTAGCAAAACGGCTCAAGGGATCACTTTACCTGCTGTTTCCTGATGGATGACTGAGCCGCAAGGCCCACCCCTAAACCACTCCATAACTATGAAATCTACCACAGAAACAACGGCCGAGCCGGCCGAGATCCACCTGGCTTCAGAAGAGGTGCTGCTTCTCAGTCTATCAGTCACAGCTGTGATGGCAGAATGACAATGTCAACGCGGCCTGTCACGACTTAGCATTCAAAAAAGAAACGACAGAAAGCACCATCTCCAGTTAACCGCCATGAGGAAGAAAGCCCAGCGCCTTCTTGCTGGTATATCCTCACCTGCTCAGAGCCACCGCGAAGCCCAGTCCCAGGCCGCGGGGACTGCTCCTGTGCACCGAGACCCTGCGGGTGGGCCAGCTGGCTCGAGTTTCTGAGACGGAACAGAATGAGGTTCGGGACACTCCACACCCCATCTCTCAGAAAAGGGGCAAGATTCTCAATTTACCGCTGGTCCCTAGGAGCTGTCCTAGGATATTCCCAAACTCTTTATTTTCCCTGAATGCCTAGCTCTGCCCACTACACGTGAAGAGCCAAACATACTACCTGAGATAAACTGTGACCTGATAATAATCCCGTTCTTACAACCTGATCTATTTCTCCTTTTCCTTTTTTATTTATTTTTCCAACTGAATCTTAGTGGGAATAATAAGAACCCCAACGTTAGGGGTTTGAGTTTATCGTGAATTTCTATCAATCTGAATCCTCAGCAACTTACCCAAAGCAAGCCTTTTTACAAACAGGTAACACCTTTCTAAAGCTCTCCGCCTCCTTCCATGCTGTGTGATATTAGCCCCATCATGAGGCCCCACCCGAATCACTCAGGAGGGTCTGAGGCAGTGTCTGCTTCTACAGCCCAGAGCAGAGACACGCCCCGTCAGCCTCCGCACTCCTGACACGCCCGCCTGGATGCTTTGTTGGGGAGGGTTGTCCTGTTCAGCAGTGCCCTTGGACTCTACTCACCAGATGCCAAAAGCAGCAGCCCACCCAGTTATGACAACCAAAAATGTCTCCAGGTACTGGCGAATCCACATACATCAGAGCCTGGAGGGCTTCTGAGACGCTGCCGGGCCGGACCCGCGTTTCTGGAGCAGGGATGTGGACCAGCCAAGAACGCATTCCCAGCAGGTTCTCAAGTGACAGTGAGGCTGCCAGTCGGGACCGCACCTGGAGAACGCCTGTCCAGACACTCACCATGAGCCACACGTGGGATTTTAACTTTCCAGAAGCCGTAAGAGAAGGTAAAATCAATTAGATTTTACTTAAACCAATACACTTCGACAGATCGTTTCAACACGCGGTCGACAAACTCCCCAACAAGCTGCTCGCCGTCTTTCCGCTGTGCTCAGGCGTGGAGACCACCGGGCGCTTTGCACTCACGGCACGTCTCCGTCTGGAGCTGCCACGTCTGCTCTGTCGTTGAGTGACCAGTGGCTGCCAGGCTGGCCAGTGGCCCCCGCTGACCCTCTCGGTAGACACTCAGGAGGCTCTGTCACCGCTGTCACCCTGTCCACCAGCTGCATCGACAGGATGTGCCTGTAGCACCAGCCTCTCAACTGCAGTCACCTGTTTGTTCATTAGCCTCTCAAAGCACCTTTCTAACTCACAGCGATCGATCCAGCCACATTCACCCCTCCTTCTGAATTTGCAAAACAGACTCTTTGTCAAGGTCAAAATGCTAGACAGTAATGAGCTGTCACAGGTCCCCAAAACTCACACGCCCAGCTCCACGATTTAACCCCCGAACCTCGTCTGAACACAACCAGCAGCCACTGCGGCACGGCCTCTGCACCCGACCGGGCTGACGGCGCGCCCGCCGCGTGGGGGCACAGACCTGAGGACAGCACAGCAGCCCGCACGCCCTGGAGCGGACAGCGAAGGACGGGCTGCCAAGAAGGACGTATCAGGGGACGCCGGGTCCCCACAAAGCACGAGGATCAAGGAGAGCTCTCTGAGGAGATAGCAGCGGGGCTGGAGCAGAGCCCCGGGGAGGGATGCAAGGGGCCAGCCTGGCAGACAGAGCAGCAAGCGCAAAAGGCCCAAGGAGGCAACAGCCAGGTGACCGCACAGAGGAAACACTGCCCCATCGGCTGCAGCCAGGAGCCCGGCTGCAGAAGGAAGAGACCTGAGTGGGATCTCGGTTACACGCAAGCACAGGAGCCCAGGTAGCAGCTGGCAGTGGCCTGGACCAGGGGTGGTGGCTGGGGACGCGGAGAAGTGAGCAGAATCTTGACACACCTTGGTGCGTCTAGCTCTAAAATCTATCTACTACAGAGCTACTGTATGCGCTCTGACCAGCACGTCCACCTCTGACAACCTATCCTGCAGAAACCATCCCAAGGATCCGCAGGCCCTCAATCAAGGATTCTCCCTGCCCAGCCCTGAGAACTGAACAGTGCGTACACGCATCGGACGGGTCACTCACTGAGCGAGCCCGACCGTGGACCGTGCGCAGCAGCCAGAGGGCAGCGGGGTGCGCTACAGGCACAGAAAGATGCCCAAGAAAGCACTCTGAAGGGGAAAAAGCCGTGGTACCGCTGTTGTTGCTAGTTCCCCTCGAGTCAATTCCGACTCATGGTGACCCCTGGTGTTACAGAATAGAACTGCTCCATCGGGTTTTCTTAGCTGTAATCTTAATGGGAGACTGCCAGGTCTTTCTTCTGCGGTACCGCGGGGTGGGTTCGAACCGCCAACTTTTAGGCTAGCAGACAAGTGCAAACCGTTTTTGCCACCCAGGGACCTTACCGTACAGTGCTACCATTATTTAGAGAAGAATAGGAGTGACGAAGGTCAGCGGGGATGTATTTAAAAACAACAGAACCCCCAGTGGGAGGACCTACACTGACAGTGGCTGACCTGGGGGTGGGGCTCACAAGCCTTACTTCCTACTTTCTACGCTGGTTTTAAGGGGCTCCGATTGCTTTTGTAAGAAACATTTAGAGCCCAGCCTGCTCAGACAGAGTGCCCCCGCAGCTGCCCGTCCCGTCCCACACAGCACGCCCCTGTCAGCTCACAGGGCCCTAGTCAAGCTCATGCCTGACTACTTGCTGTGTGCTCACTGGGTGGAAGTCAGTTCTGCTCTGGCTGACCCCACAGGAGTGGCTGGGCGGCGCCGGCCCGTGAGCATGGATCTGTAGGATCCTCCCCCGAGCCCAGGAATCCAGGCGCCTGGACAGGTGAGGGGGTGTGCACGGCCCAGCGCTCCCCAAGACCCCGCTCCCACAAGGACACGGTGGCTCAGGTGGATCAGAGCTTTATACAAGGTCTCAGGGGGGGAGATGCCCCCCAAGATAAGAATGCCCCAACTTGTCACCTGCTCGATTGTAGAAAAGATGGCCGCTGTGGGACAATGAGCAAGACCACTTCCCGGCTCCCTCTCCTTTACAACAGAGGACAAGCTCTGCTAGGAACAGACCCTCCTGGCCACTTCTTTCGATGGAGCAGTTTGCAATCCTTCATGTGGCCTGACCCTCCCACGCGTTTTTACACCATGCAGATGGCATCTCAACGCGGCAGGGCCGGGAACCTCAGGTCCAGCACACTCCCCAGGCCCCACCTTCTGGCTGCTCTCCCATAACTCTGACCACCCTCAACCCTGCACCCACCACCCACAATCCACATCACCAAACACACAACTCCTTCTTTCACAACACCCTTCTGGGTCCAGCCGCCCTTGATCTCCAAGGGACGCTATCCCCGAAAGCCCACCCGCCACCTGCCCCCCAGTGCACGGAAGGCCCCTGTGCTCACCATGCCCGCCCCTCCCCTGGCCAGGACAGAGGGCTCTCGGCAGCCCCCACCCTGACCATCACGTCACTGTGCGCACTCAGACAGACAGGCTGCGTTCACAGCAGGAGGGACTTACAGCTGAGACGGGGTCCGAGTGAGCAGGCAAAGTTTTGAGGCACTTCCCCGTTTTCACATCCCATATCCTCACACTTTCATCAAACTGAGGACGAAACAAAAAATCCATCAAGACAATTCTAAAGGGAGGGGACAAGGAAACGACAGATTCTCCGGCTCCCAAGACCTGCCACAGCCCCATCAGGCCCACGAACATCAGCACGAAAACGGCCTGGAGCCCGCCAACCACCCCAAGTGTTGTAAAGTGGATGTGGCAGACTGGTGGACAGTCACCCGCTCCCCGCGAGCGTGCAAACCCATGTCACCTCCCACACACGAGAAAGATAGCACGCTTACAGATCCCGAGACGATGAGGTTGGACTGGGGGTTGAAGTTGCAGCAAAAGACGTAATTACTGTGTCCCTTCAGGGTTTTCAGGCACTTCCCCTAAAACGGCATGGTTAGATCAAGTCATTCCCCTGTGGTGTCTTCCCAAACCCCAGCATCAGGCTAACCTCACCCACGGGCGCCCGCCCACCAGCCTGGAAACAACTGACAGCCAAGACCATCTGGGGCTGCTGTCCCCAAATTCAGCTACCTCTCGCCCCCTGTGGCCCCTTCTCCAACCACCGTCTCCAATGTGGGGAGAAACGCAAAGGCGCTGTTTACCGAGCTCACGTCCCAGATCTTCAAGGTCTTGTCGTCTGAGGCGGAGACGAGGAGGTTTGAGTCTGACGACCAGGCCACGTCTGATATTCCCTTGGGGAAAAGGGCAGAGTGAGCATCCTGGTTTGACAGGAATGTGTCAGACTCCCAAACACCCAGCTAGAGACATGTGGGCAGGGAACCCGCTCTTGGGAAAGCTCTGGCGAACGTCTCCCACCCAGAGGGCCACCACAGGGCCCCACGACCGGCAGGAACAGCTTGTGGGGTAAAAAGCGTCTGCGGAAAAAGACAGGAGGCAAATGACTACAAAAAAGCCCACCGTAGCCAGAGGGCAAATGGGGACGAGGAGGCTGGTGATGGAGGACCCAAGGTTGAATAAGGGTATTGTTGATGTGATGTGAGATTGTTAACCATTGTCATAGAGCAACATGTGTAGTAACTGTTAAATGAGAAACTATTTTGTGCTGTAAGCCTCCATCTTAAGTGAGAACAGCAGCACAATTGGAAGAGCGTAGTCAATGTCACTGAACTGTGCATGTAGAAATTTTTGAAATGGTGTATCTTTGGCTATGTGTATTTTCATGAAAAAAAAAAAAAAAAGGTTGAGAAGTTAAGAGGGTTGACATGTTGTGAGGCTGTTAACCAATGTCATAAAACACTACGTGTACTACTGTTTCATGAAAAACTATTCTTCTGTAAGCCTTCACCTGAAGCACAATAAAAAACATTAAAAAAAAAGAAGAAAAGAAAACACTCTAACTCACAACTCTCAGGAGCCCGCACTCCCCGTGCCCCCACCTCCCGAGGCTGCCGTTGCAGTCACCTTCACGTTGACCTGAATCCAACCGGGCAGACACCTACCAGTTTGTGACCAGATATGGTCTTCTCGAATTTTCCATCGTAAGCACCCCAAATTTTAATGAGTTTATCAGCAGCTGAAAAGAGGAAAGAGATGAAAAGGAGCTGAGCTGCACACTCTGCAGCACCCAGCTGGCATGACAGAGCCCGGACTCCAGGCTGTGACCCCACCCATGCCCCGTGAACTGCCCAGAGCCCAGTGCCTCGGGCACTGCCATGCGTCAAGAAGGCTGAGGGGTAGCATCAGCTGCGGCGCCCTCCTCCCTCTCCCCGGCACCCACCACCAGGGGAAGCAGCAGGCTCTACTTCGGCAGACGGGGACGCTTTCAGTCACCGTGAGGGACACACAGCTGGCTCAAGAGACCCAGCAGCAGGGTCAGGAAGGACACCCGCCCCAGCCCTCCCCAGTGCTGGTGGGCAGCTCGACCTGCTCCTCCCAGGGGTACTCACAGGAACTGGCCAGCCACTCTCCATTTGGACTGAACTTCACGGAGGACACGGCTTTCGTGTGGCCAGCCAAAGTGAACTTTAGAGCGTAGTTTGGTTTGACAGGTGTAGGCTGTCGGCGAGACGCGCAACATCAAAGTTTGCAAAACGCAACCACCATCGTCCGCTCAATTGCTCACCAGCTTGGATGTGATTTCCAAACCTTTATTTCAAACCCAGCCCCATCTCCAAACCAGTATTCCAAGGCCCCTGGAAATCACTCCCTAGATGTCACCTCTCAGCATGAACGTGTCCGAGCTCGCTGTCGTTGCTGCGGGTGCTGCCGCGTCACTCTCGACTCACAGCGACACTGTGGCACAGCAGAGCGGCCCCACAGCATTCTCTAGGCTGGGGTCTTTACGAGAGCGGATTGCAGGGTCTTTTCTCCCACAGAGCCGCTGGCGGGTTCAAGCGCTTAACCACTGTGCCACCAGGACACTTTTCGGAGCTCATTCAAACCCACTGCTGTTGAGTTGATTCAGACTCATCGTGATGCTACGGGACAGAGTAGAACTGCCCCGTAGGGCTTCCAAGGCTGTCATCTTTATGGAAGCAGACAAACACATCTTTCTCCTGTGGAGCCGCTGGTGGGTTCGAACCGCCAACCTGCAGTCGGCAGCCAAGCGCCTAACCACTGCACCACTACTCCCCCAGAAACAAACTTCCTTCTCCTGTATTCCCCATCTGTCTTCTGGTTCCACCTTCCAGGCTAGAAAGGTCTGAGGCCACCTCAAGGCCGCCCTACCCCACTCCCGGCTGGTCACATCACTGGACACCGCTGTATCACAGGGGTCCCCACAGCCCTGGCCTTGCTTCAGCACACCCTCCCATCCAAAGGCCAGCCCCCCAAAAGGCAAATCTGAGGCCTTGCTACCTGGAGGAAAGGTCTGTTTGCTTCCTGTTGCCTAGAAGAGCGGCCCGCCCGCAAGCCTGGCTGGGCATTGGGATTCCAGGGCCAGGCAGGGGGCTCACAGAAAGATGTCTTCCGGGTCACACTTCCAGAACCTTACACTCAGGACCAAGATCTACATTTCCGACAAAGCTCCCTCCTCGTGTGAGGGTTTGGGAACCCAAAGTGGCACGTGATAAGCAGCCATTAGGCATAAGCTCAAGCAGTAAAACTTGGCAGCGACCTTTAGCTGAGAAGGGAGAATACCTCACAGATATGAAATAATGTCCCAAGATCCTTTAAGCCAATTTTCCCCTGGAAGTCACCCAAGAACGCTCTACACATACCTTGCTCTGAGTGGCCGATGATGAAGGGGTCGGCTGTGCCCTGGCGGCCTCAGTCTCCGGCTTCTTCTCCTCCGTCGCCATGGCTCTGCACCCCACCAGGCAGGGGGATGGGGTGCACAGCTCTGAGCAGAACAGTCACACTGGAAACCTCGTGGGGAACCTAGACCAAGGAACAAACCGGTTTAAAAATTAACACCCAGGAAAAAGGATCGAGAAGACAAACATTGACCACCACACTGACGCCTGTAGCAAACAGCCCATCCCAAGTTGGGGGGCCTAACTAGTAGCCCAAACCCACGCTGACACCTCTTTCAGAGGCTCTTGCCGAGGCGACACTGCGCTCACCTTTTTTTTGTAACCTAAGGCCCCACTCTTGGAAGGGCTTCCTATTTTGTTACCCAGACATCAGCAGGAGCACAGCTTGGTCCACACAAAACACGACTTTCTTCACAGAGCCTTTGATACATTAAGAAAAGGACCCAAAAGTTTCCTGACAGAAAACTAACATGCCGAATGACAGGAGACTCGGCGTCAGGGTGTGGAAGTAGGGGAACTCATCCAGATCCTAAACGGCATCCTGAGTCATGATGTTAGCACCACATGTGGGGACATAGGAGTAAGCGCACCCCGGGCTCCCGCACCTCAGGATGGGGCTGCTTCTGGAATGCTGACAGGTGAGGGAAGGACCGCACGCGGCTGAAGAGCAAACCAGGGCCAGCTCTGCGTGCTGTATGGAGCCTCAGCTCAGCAGCAACCCTGCAGAGACTCACGGTACAGGAGGGAAGGGACTGCAGATCAGCTAGGCTGTGCTCCGCAAGGGGAAACACTCCTAAACCCGTGCAGTACGCCACTAGGGTCCTGTCCCAGAAGCAGATTCCATCACTGGATAAAACCAAAACCAGACCTGCTGCAGATGAGCCGATTCCAACTCACAGCGACCCTACAGGACAGAACAAAACTGCCCCATAGGGTTTCCGAGGCTGTACCCTTTACGGAAGCAGACTGCCACATCTTTCTCCCGCAGAGCGGCTGGTGGGCTCGAACCGCCAAACTTTCAGTTGGCAGCCAAGCACTTGCGCCACCAGGGCTCCTCCATTACCAGATACCGCTCAGGAAAGGACAGCAGGTTATCTAGAAGTGAGGAAAACCGCTATTAAAAGGGAGAGGCACCAAGCCGTCCCTGCAAACGTCACTGGCAGCCCCAATCCCTAAGCCGACGCTATCATCCACCTAGTTAATGTGTTCACACACTCTACATTCTAGCTGGGAGTTTAACAATGAGACCAGGCTCCTTGGAACACTAATGCGAAATGCAAGCCATCAAAAAACACGAAGTCTCGAAGTCTTCATCCAAGAGGGAGAAAATTTACCCAGCAACACCCACCGTCCACAGCGCACTGGCGTGAAGCTCCCTTTTGCGGGGAAGCCTGTTGCGGATGCATCAGAGGAAGCCCAGGTCACAGCACAGGGCTGAGAAACAAGTGGTCAGTGCCCCCACCCCTAGGTGGGACGCCAAGTGGGAACAGGGGCTGCCGCAGGCAGCTCCACAAAGGACGGCTCGGGGCCAGAGGTGTTCTTCTAGCATAAAGAGACTGGCCTAGAGGCAGGGTGAGACTCCTGCAAACTGGCTGCCCACAGGTGAGAAGCAAGAACAAGCTAAAGTAGGTGGTCTTACCCCCGACTCAGCACAGGACCAACCTTCAAACATTAACACGCAAAAAAAATCAAGTGGAGAGACAGACTTTTAAGAACATAGATTTCTTGACCCAACACCCCAATACTTTACTTCCCTGTGTGAGGGCCACCAAAAAAACCAAACCCAGTGCCGTTGAGTCAATTCTGACTCTAATGACCCCACAGAACAGAGTACAACTGCCCCACAGGGTTTCCAAGGAGCTGCTGGTAGATTCAAACAGCCGACCTTTTGGTTAGCAGCCGTAGCTCTTAACCACTGCGCCACCAGGGCTCACAGCGCTGTTTGTCACGAAGACTTATGACGAGTCTGGGGAACACATTTTGCAAAACGATCACTCTCAGGGAACAGGGAGCTGGTTAGGGGCCAGACCACTAGAAAGATGGGGTACAAAAAGGTAAACACAAACGGAGTGAAGGAAAGGCGGTGTGGATGTGGCCTCCAGAGCTCCCTGCCCCTCTGGGCACCCACACGCCTTCCGTCCTAGCAAGCCTGAGGCAGAGCTCCCCAAACGTGCAGCTCTCCTAACCCACCCCGCTTCCACTGAGTCAGTTCCCACGCATAGCAACCCTACAGGGCAGAGGAGAACTGCCCCACAGGGCTTCCAAGGAGCGCCTGGGGGATTCCAACTGCCGACCTTTCGGTTAGCAGGCAAACACTTAACCACTGCGCCACCAGGGCTCTGAGCGCTCTCCTACACTCTGGTAAAACGCAGGTTCCTGGGCTCCATCCAGATCCGGGAAGGCAGAGGCCATCTGTGTCGCTAAATGGGCACCCAGGTGAGCTCAGGTGAGTCCTGAAGCAGTGGTGGCAAGCATAGCTCTCTGCTACCTCAGCTCTTCCATTCACTTTACTCCTTGGTGCTTACCTGTCTGCCTTCCCTAGGGGCCAAGCTCAGGGGCAAGATCTAGCGCAGTGCCTGCCAGAGTCAAAGCTTTAAAACGTTTGTTGACGAGAATTAGTAAACAGAATTGGTACAGGAAAGGTGGTTAAGGGGTGTCTTTTAAAATCCCCCCAAATGGCTTTTGCAGACCAGACCAAAAGTGGCTGAGAGGCTCCACCGAAGGAGGGCCAGTAGCTTCTCCCTTCATGAGGGTGGACGCACAGCCCAGCAACCCCAACCAGGGGCTCTGGGCTCTTAGAAGAGATGGGGCCTGGCAGCTCGGGGGTAACCAGCAGAAACAGGGTGGACGGAAAGAAGGGGACTCAACTCTGTCTGCATTCAGCCAGCGTGTGAGTGGACCACATCCAGGACAGGCTCGCCTGGGGTGTCTCTGAAGAAATGGAGGGAAAGGGGGCGATGTGCTCGATGGCTGGGGGTGGGGAGGGGCGTCCCAACCCCTGGGGCTTTGGTCTTGTCATGTGACCGCTGGGAAGGGACAAGTTCCGGGGAGACTGGGACGTGACTGCAGAGGCCTCCCGCAATCAATGGGTGGGAGAGTACCCCGGGAAGGGGAGACAGGACATCCAGGGCGCGGCTGCTGGATTGGGGGAGGGGTCGCCAGCGAGGGGGCGGGGAGCCTGACCCGGGAGGAGGGCGAAGAGGGCACCGGCCGGCTGCAGGCGGGGAGCGGAAAGCGGCCCTCACGGAGAGCGTCTGCACGAGGAGGGCCCGTGCCCGCAGGAGGCCGTTCAAGGTCCGCGACAAGGAGCTGCAGCTGGGGCCGAGGCCCGGGACGCCGGGCCGGCGGGGAACACGTGCGGCGGCCGGGGGCGGTTTGGGGGCTCAGCCGGGTCGCGCCCATTTACCCCGCTGCGGCCCTCGGGCCGAGGGCTGCCGCTTACCTCTGGGCCGCAGCGGCGGGGCCGGGCGCTGGGCGTCGCGTCGGCCGCCACCTGGGCGGCAGCGCGGGCCGAGCTCGACGAGGCAGCAGGTCCGGCGGGCGCCAAGCGGCGTGAAGGCTGGGGGCGGGGAGCTGCCAGTGCGCGTGCGCGAGGGGAGGGGCGGTGTCCCGGGGGTGGGGCCAACGCACAAAGCCGGCCTCTCGGAGGAGCGCTACGGGGAGCGGCGAGGGGCAGAATGCCTCGGCCACCCCCAACGCCTTAAAGGGACCGCGTGCTGCGCGCGCTTCCTACTCCAGAGTTAAAAGTCCAGAAGTTGGCTGTTACGGGCCCACCTTCTCCCGCACTTTTTAAAAACAGTAGTATAATATACGGACAGGGACGTACTAGTGTGCCCCTCGAATTTTGCGAGCAGCCCTGCAGCCGACACCGACATCCTGGGACAGAATATTCTCCTGGGATTCTGAGGAGGGGGCGTTGCCCAACGTTTCTCTTCGGAATCAGCGCCCCGGTCGGGGGATCAATTCTTTATGAACGCTAATCCTGCTGATCGCAGCAGTTAACTGTTAGAGCCTCTGCGGCCAGCCCGCGCACCGCCCGGCGCTTCAGCGACCCCTCACGTACATCAGGTGGACAGGAGAGGATGCCTTCCGCGTACGAGACCTGGGGCTCAGTGTCCGGGCTCCGCCCAGGGGGCTGAGAGTCCCTCCTGCGCCAGCTCTTGCCCACGCTCACCACACCTTCCTCCCTCCCAGCATTGTGCAGAGAGTAGAGCCAATCCTAATAATCACTGCATGCAAACTGGTTTCACAGCCCCTCCCGGCTCGGGGCCCCAGACAGGTGTTCACCTCCATCACAGGTGGGCAGGCCAGGCCCGGAGAGGAGTGAGGGGCAGGGGCAGAACCTGGGCTCCGGTGTTCTGCCCCATGCCTGAGCAGTCACAGCCCACTGCCCCAGTTCTGCAAACCACGTGGGTCTTAGACTCTTGGAGGTGGTGGTGGTCCCCGAAGCACTATAGCCCCAGCCCAGGACTGTGGGTAGAGTGACAGCCTCTTATGTTCCAATTAATACAACACAAGTACCTGAGCAAACAAAGGGAGCAAGCATTAGAAGTGGAATCGCCCAGGGAAGGTGAGATGTGAGGTTGTCATAGATAGGACAGCTAACGAGTAGCGGATGATATGGAGCACCCTCCCAGAGAGGACACAGGGAGGCAAGACCATGGCTCAGTGGATCTGTGTGTCCAGCAGGCCCTTGCCCTGGGGCAGGAGGCCGGGATGCTCGAAGGTTAACAAAACGAGCTCAGAAGTGAAGACGGCCATCTCCATCCACCTGGCAGCCTGGCTGGACACCTGAGCCCCCCCAGATTTCCCCCGTGTCTCTCAGATAGCCCTCGGATCGACTCACTCCTCTCAACGCCTGCCCTGTCACCGCAACGTGAACACAACGCCCCCCTTCCCAAACCTCTACACAGCACGCAGAGGAAAACTCCAGCTCTGGTCTGTCTCTCCCCAGTTTAAGGCTCAGAAATGGCTTCCCAGGGCCCTCAGGTCAAAAGCTAAACAGTTGGCAGGGTTTACCAGACCCTCCCCTCCCCTTCCAGCCTAGCACCCCCCCCCCAAACTGTGCACCCCAGGTTCCAACTCCAGATACAAACTACTTCCAGTCCCCAAACCTCCCGGCAGAGAACTCAAAGGTGTTAACGCAGATTCCCAACCTCCACTCCCAGGTAAATCGGTCTGGCCCCGCCCTCCCCTCCCTCCCCTCCCTCCCCCCGGGAGAGAGAACCTTCCGGCGAAAAAGAAAACAATCCTCTAACTTTTGAGAGTTTTTGCAATTCATCCCCACAGAGCTAAAATCCGGAAGCCGAATAACAGCGGGAAGAGCAGCTTAACAAAAACAAGTAATTTGCTTTATTGTCTATGTTTTAAATCCCTTTATACCCCTCCCCCAGATTTGTCAGGCTCAGAAAAATCGCAAGTGGAAACCGAAGAGAGTGAGAGCTACAGAAAAGGGGAAAACATGCTACAGCAGTTTTTTTCCAGAATACTAACCGCTTGGGCCATCCGGGGTGAACTGATGGAGGAAATGGTTTCTGAGAACAATTTTTATACGGACAACATTTCTAGAAAGCCGCTCCCCACCCCCACTCACGGCAGTCGGACCGACCAGAGGGGAGATGTGAGCCAGCCTGGGCACCTCCGTCTTGCCCAGTTCCCTCCACCAGGCTCGCCTTCTCGTCGCCCCCACCCCCAGGCAACGTCATCTGGGGCCTCCTCCCCTGATCCCCAAACCTGGCGAGTGACCCCCGGCTGTGTTTGCATTGCTCCCAGTTCTTCCCCAATAGAAACCCCCATCATTGTAATCCTGGTCCAATGTCCTCTGGGGGCAACTGAGCTGGTGGGAAGGGGAGAAGAAGGAGGGGGAGGAGCAGGGGGAGAAAGTGGGGAAAGCAGGGGGAGGAGGAGGAGAGGGAGGAGCAGTGGGCGAAAGGCGGGGGGAGGAGGAGGGGGAGGAGCAGTGGGAGAAAGGGGGAAGCAGTGGAAGAAAGGGGGAGGAGCAGTGGGGAGAAGGAAGGAAGGGAGCAGGAGGAGGAGGGGAGGAGAGAGAAGGAGGAAAGGAGGAGGGAGAAGGAGGAGAGGGAAGAGGTATGATCTGGCATGCATTGAGCACTTGGGGGCTCCTTTGTCTATTTAGTTTATGACACATATTACCTCCTTGCACCCCCCTTAACATCCCTGTGAAGTGGGTGACTTCATTATCCCCTTTTCACAATGAGGAAACTGAGGCTCAGAGAGGTTGAGAGACCATCCGAGGACCTCCAGTCGGTAGCAAACACTAAGCCTCAGGACTGGCTGGAGGCACAGCCTAGGGCCCCGACCCCTAGACTTGCAAACAGAGTACACGCTCAGTGGCTCAGTGGTGCTTACCGGGTGAACGCATAGTGAGTGAGTGAGTGAAAAATCCGTGCTGTAGGTCTTCCGAGAAGGCAGCAGCACGGTGACCTTGAGCCCTCAGGGGAGGCTCTATGGAGGCTGCAGATCTGAAGTTTAACGACATCACATTCGTACAGGACTTGAAGCTTCTGAAAAGCCCTGTTTTATCACCTAGTGATAAATATTTCATCAGGGAAGGTGGCCTGCCAGACTCGGAGAGGGCTTGCGGGAGGGTGGCCGAGGAAGGGGCCGGTCATGGTCACGCTGGGGTGGAACAGCGTGATGCTCACACTGGGGCTGCAGGCAGCGGTGAACCTCCAGCCCCTTAATGGCTGAGCCCAGAGCTTTGGGGGCAGCAGATTCCAATGGCAGTTGATGAGGGAGGATCATGGAAGCTGATGGACACAGATGCCCAGGAGCCAGGGTTTCCAGGAGCTGCTCCCCGGATCCCACAGGCTGACCTGGTCCTGAGCCCCCACGCACCCACCCCTAGCTCCTGCCAGCTCAGGTCAGTGGGTGTGTGCTAAGCCCTTTTCTGCATAAAAATGCCAGGCAGCCAGTTTAGGGGGCTTATACCACCATCCCCCTTGCTAGGGCTCCTTCCTTCCCTCCCCAGCACCCCCCACCCAGCCCTGGGTCCATCAGGACAGAGCACCTTCAGCCACAGCCTCGTCCTGAGCCAGGTGGGCACCTATCACCACTGGCGTGCAGCCAGCCCTGACTGGGCCACCATCCTCTCTTCCTCCCCTGGCCTCAGTTTCCCGGTTACAGAAAGAACAGGCTGGACCCTCTTGTCCCTGACATTGTGGGGTTTCTCCCTAGTACCCAATTCTCTCCTTCCACAGTCCACCCAGGCACGTGCCTCTCCCCACCCAGGTTTGTCTCCTTCCCTCAAGCTTCTTTCCCCTATATTGCACCTCCTACCATTGCTGCCCTCTAAGGTGACCCTTGGGTGACAGACCGTCTAGTTTGCCGGGCACTGTCCCAGTTCTGGCACTGACAGTCCCCGTCCCTGGCACCCCTCTGTCCCAGGTAAACCAGGATGGGGGTCACCCGGTCCCTCCCCTCCTACTCTTACCCTTCTCCCAGGCTGCCTGTCCTCAAGGAGCCCCAGGCCCTCCCCTATGCCTCTGCACCTTCCCCATCCTGCCAGCCTGCTGGCCCTCGAAGGGCTCACTTACTCACCTACCCCCCTCAACACTGTGGACAATGTCCACTGCTGTACCTGGAGGGGCGAGTGGAGGCCCAGAGAGGAACAAGTCACCGCTGGGGGCGCCAATGAGTTCCGCTTGACTCCAACACCCAAAAACAACAATACTGTTTATGGAAGCAGCTCACCAGGCCTTCCTCCCGTGGTGCCGCTGGGTAGGTTCAAACCACCAACCTTTAAGTTAGTAACGAGCGTAAACCACCTGTGTCAGCTGGGGATGAGGACTTCAAATACAGTCTCACTAAATCCCCAGAGATGGATGTGCTCAGCAAAGCCCCGCCGAGGGAATGTGTCACCAAATGCTCAATTTCTCTTCTTTTGGGCTTCTAAAAAAATCATTGGTCGAGGTGAAATTCACATAACAAAAAAATCAGCCATTTTATTACTGGTCTGACAGAGACTGGAGAAACCTTGAGAGTATGGCCCCCGGACACCCTTTTAACTCAGTACCGAAGTCACTCCTGAGGTTCACCCTTCAACCAAAGATTAGGCAGGCCCATAAAACAATCATACAAGTGGCTCAGCCAGGTGTAGGAGACTAAGTGGGCACACCCGCCCAGGGGCAAGGACTAGAAGGCAGGAGGGGGCAGGAAAGCTGGTGATGGGGAACCCAAGGTCGAGCAAGGGACAGCATTGAAATGTCGTGGGGTTGACAACCAATGTCACAAAACAATATTGGTAACCCTTCACCCAAAGCACAATTAAAAAGTAAACGTTAGCCATTCTAAAGCGAACAATTCCGTGGTATTTAGCGCATGTACAATGCTGTGCAACCACCCCACGTCTCCAGTTCCCGAACATTCCCATCCCTCCCAAGTAAAGCTCCTTACCCATCCAGCAGTTTTCCCCCACACCCTCTCCCCCCTCCCATTGCTTTTAACCCTATCTTAAACTTGCTTCCAATTACGTCCGCCTGCCCGCACCCTGCACCCCCCACCCCACCATGCCCTGGCATCTCCCCTGGACGGGGCTGCCCGCTGCCGCCTCCGGGTGGTGCTGGGAGCCTGGCCACCCCACACCCGGAAGCTCTGGGTGCAGGGGCCAGGCTGGGCGGGTCTCCCCCCAGGAATCTCAGGAATGTATTCTCCCGCTTGCGAAGCCAGGCCGCACCTGGCGCCTGGGACCTGGTGCAATCCCCCGGACAGGACAAATGAGAAAGAGACACCTTCCACAACAAGCCAGGCAAACACTGGAGCCCCAAAAAGTCAAGGAAGTTTTTCAAGGGCTTTTTTTGGGGGGGTGGGATAGTGCAACAGTGGTTTAAAGGGTCATTTTTTAAGGACTATAAATTTGGCTGCTAGTATTCCACCTGTGTCTCCCCATCATGTCAAACTATTTCCACCCGTCCATGTTATTAAAAGCCATCACAGCTGTTCTTCCTGAGTGCCTACTGTGTGCCCTTCACACGGCTAAGGACTTTAAATCAGGGCGTTGAACCGGTTTGTTCTCGTTTGAACCCCTGCTGAGAATTTGCATTTTCACCCCAGATATACTGAATCGGAATCTACAGTTTAACAAGATCCTCAGGTGATTTTTATGTATAAGAAATTTTGAGAGCCACTGCTCTCCTAGTGGTTCTCAGAATTGGTCCCTAACCAGCAGCATTAGCATCGCCTGGGAACTTGTTCTAACAAACGGATTGGAGGCCCTGCTTTAAATACAAACCAAAAACCCACTGCCATGGAGTCGACTCCGACTCATGGCGACCCTATATGTTACAGAGTAGAACTGCTCCGTAGATTTTTCTTGTCTATAACCTTTATGGAAGGAGAAGCCCTAGTGGTGAAATGGTTAAGCACTTGCCTGCTAACCAAAAAGTTGGTGATTTGAATCCATCCAGGAGCTCCACGGGAGAAAGACCTGACAATCTGCTTCCGTAAAGATTACAGCCTAGGAAACGCTATGGGGAAGTTCTACTCTGTCATGTGGCGTCACTGTGAGTTGATAATCAACTCGACAGCACCCAACAATAACAATCTTTACAGAAGCAGATCCCCAGGACTTTCTTCCGTGGTACTCCTGGATGGGCTTGAACTGCCAACCTTTAGGTGAGCAATGAGTGCAAACCACTTCTGCCAGCTAGGGACAAGGGCTTTAAATGTAGTCTCATTAAATCCCCACAGATGGTTGTAAGCTCTTCTGGGTTTGACCAAACCGGAAACCAAAACCGTTGCCATCAAGTCGAGTCCAACTCATAGCAAATCTATAGGACAGAGTAGGACTGCCCTGTAGAGTTTCCAAGGAGAAGCTGGTGAATTTGAACTGCTGACCTTTGGTTAGCAGCTGAGATCTTTAACCACTTTGCCACCAGAACTCTGGAAAATGGGGGTCAGAAAGCCTCGGCAGCTTGTCCAGGGTCACACAGCACGTAAGTGACAGTGCAGGGCTAACCCTGGTTCCTTCGCCTCCGCGCATGTCCGTGAGCCCACTGGCCTTCTCAGGATGCAGATGTCATGTCCACACACTTCAGTCTCAGTAGCTGTGCAGTCTGCTGACATTTCATCAAGAAGCCCTGAGGGGACATCTAGGTCAACTGGCATAACAAAGTTTATTAAGAAAATGTTCTGCATCCCACTTTGGTGAGTGGCATCTGGGGTCTGAAAAAGCTAGTGAGCGGCCATCTAAGATGCATCAGTTGGTCCCAACCCACCTGGAGTAAAGGAGAATGAAGAATACCAAAGACACAAGGAAAGTATTAGCCCAAGAGACAGAAAGGGCCACATAAACCAGAGACTCCATCAACCTGAGATTGGAAGAAGTAGATGGTGCCCGGCTACCACCAATGACCGCCCTGACAGGGAACACAACATAGAGTCCCTGATGGAGCAGGAGAAAGGCGGGGTGCAGAACTCAAATTCTAGTAAAATGACCAGACTTAATGGTCTGACTGAGACTGGAGGAACCCCGGAAATCATGGCCCCCGGACTCTCTGTTAACCAAGAACTAAAACCATTCCCGAGGCCAACTCTTCAGAGAAAGATCAGACTGGACTATGGGACATGAAATGATACTCATGAAGAGTG